GTATAAGTGAATCTTTCTAAAAGTAGAGTATAAACGTCTTAACACAATAACTAAGAAAATTGACAAAGTCTATGTTAACCAGTTTGATGAAAATATTTCAAATTGTATATGAAAACACCACACTGTACCTCATGATTGCATTAACGTATACAACTATCATTTAATTAAAAAAAAAAGAATAATGCGTTCCACCTCCATCCAGTTTAGTACAAATGCTACAAAATCTCCTTTTTTTAAATGGCTGAATAGTATTCCATGGTATACATTTACCACAGATTGCCAATCCATTCATGGGTTGAGGGGCATTTAGGCTGTTTCCACATTTTAGTGATTGTAAATTGAACTACAATGAACAGTCTAGTACAAGTGTCTTTAAGAGAAAAGGTTTTTTTTTTTTCTTCTGGATAGATGCCCAGTAATGGGATTGCAGGATCAAATGGGAGGTCTAGTTTGAGTTCTTTTTTTTTGGACTCTGGAATTTATTTTTATTTATTTATTTTTTAATTAAATCATAGCTGTGAACATTAATACTATCATGGGTACAGAGTGCTGTTTCTATGTACAATTTGAAATACTTTCATCTAACTGGTTAACATAGCCTTCATGTCATTTTCTTAGTTATTGTGTTAAGATATTTACATTCTACATTTAGAGAGATTCACATGTACCCTTATAGGATGAACCATAAGTGTGATCCCACCAATGTTTCTCCATACTTCCTTCCAAAAAGGATGTATTAGCTTGCAGTCCCACCAGCAGTGTAAAAGTGTTCCTTTCTCTCCATATCCATGCCAGCATTTGCAGGTTTTTTTGTGATATAGGCCATTCTCGCTGGGGTTAGATGATATCTCAGGGTGGTTTTAATTTGCATTTCTGTAATAATTAGGAATGATGAGCATTTTTTCATGTGTTTGCTAGCCATTCCTCTGTCTTCTTTTGAGAAGGTTCTGTTCACTCCTCTTCCTCATTGATGTATGGGATTGTTGGTTTTTTCTTATGGATTAACTGAAGTTCTGTATAGATCCTAGTTATTAAGCTT